CTGGATGTCAGCCTGTTACGTTTGGAATGGAGGAGATTCATAATGCTTGGGAGGGGATGCCTCGTGATGACAACGATAGTAACACTTTGCACACAGAGAGCAGCATTTTTTCAGCCGTAGATCTCTCAGACCTTTGCAATGGTGGATGAACACCACTAGCCCCATTTACAGATGACAGCGAGCAGAGAAATGTTTTGCCCAAGTGAGTCCATGGCCTCACCAGAAGCAGAACCCAGATGCGCCATGCTGGGCTCTGGCCTCATTTTTATAAGCATTTCTCTCTTAGCGGCAGCCATCCTGGGAAAGAGAAGAATGAGTTTCCTGGAGTCGCCCCATACACCTTTTCATCTTTAGCAATGGGATCACTTTTATAATGCCTGAATCCCACTTAATAACAAGTGCATTGGACCTGTAGATTAAAATGTTCCCCAAATAGGATTAGGAGCTGTAACTGATTAATACAAACTACAGCTGAGCTTCTAGCCTATCTTAGACAACTCACAGGGGCCTAAGGGAGAGTAAGAGACCGCCATCCCCACTTCCCTGTGCTGCCTTCCTGCACATCCTTGCAGGGGTGGGAATGTAAGCAGAGGCTGCACCTAGGGTGACCAGACAGCAAGTGTGAAAAATCAAGATGGGGGTGGGGGGTAATATATAAGAAAAAGACCCAAATATCAGGACTGTCCTATAAAATCGGGACATCTGGTCAACCTAGCTGCACCTCTGATCTCCCTTGGTTTTGTCCCTGCCATCTTACAACCAGCACAGTGCAGCCAGCATAGCTGGGGATGTAGAAATCAGCCACTGGTCTGGGTCAGTAGCAAAGGATTACTCCCTGGGTGAAGCAAAGAAGGAATCATACCTATCTAAGCCTCTCTGAGGCATGATTCCTTCCTTGGTCTGGTCCTGGCAGGCGGCACAACTACATACCAGTGTTTATACAGGGCTGGTTGTATAAGCACCACCTCGCCCTAAGTACATTGGTATCCCTTCGGGCATTGAAATAAAGCCCATGTCACTGCTGGGATGAAATACGGTAGCTGCTTAACAGCACCCAACGGGGGAGGAAACAAGGAAATGGAGAGAGAGGGAATGAAAAAGACTGCATCCAGTTTAAATTGCAGTGGAGCTCTAGGGAGCCAGACTGTGGTTACCTACATGGGGAACTAGGCAGGACATCCCTATCTTTGTAGAAAGATCTGTGGAATCTTCGGGCGCCAAACACAAGTGTTGTTTGCATTACAGTACTACAGCTGCAGAGACTTGCTTCTGTCTTTCTGGAAAGCAAAGCTTAAATGGTGACCTTTGCTCTGCTGTATTCCTGGGTATTGTGGGAGGGCAAGGTGGTGCTGCTGTAGAGCTGAGCCCTTTCAGGACAGAGCCGTTCCCCAGGGTGGGCTAAAAAGAATAGCTCTATAACGCGTCCCCTGAACTCTCACTTCTGTGGATTGCACCTTTGGCAGATCGCACTCAGGATAAAAGAGGAGATGGCTTCCCTGGGGCCTCTTGGAAGGTGAGTCATGCTCCATGTTATTAGTGCATTGCCTCATCTGCTGGGATCAGAGGCAAAGGGTAGGAGGCCAGCTTGGCTGCATGGGTGATGAACATATGGGAGATTAGAGCCAAAAGCTTGAAACACCCTTTTCCTAAGCTTTATTCTTAGTACTAGCCAGCAAGCTACCTGCTGCAGTTCCACTGGCCTCCTAATTTTAGCTTGTTCTTTAACGCTTTATGGTGTGACCCCCATCTCATTTGTCATGGTGTCAGGGCCGGCTCCAGGGTTTTGGCCGCCCCAAGCAGCCAAACAAAAACCAACCAAACAAAAAAGCCGCGCTCGCGATCTGCGGCGGCAATTCGGCGGGAGGTCCTTCGCTCCGAGCAGGAGTGAGGGACCGTCCGCCGAATTGCCGCCGAACAGCTGGACTTGCCACCCCTCTCCGGAGTGGCCGCCCCAAGCACCTGCTTGGTAAGCTGGTGCCTGGAGCCGGCCCTCCATGGTGTGCATGATTAGGGTTACCATACGTCCGGATTTTCCCGGACATGTCCGGCTTTTGGGGGCTC